CGCGCGAACCCAGAAAGCCAAAATGCAGATATCATCACTGTCCTGCAGCTACAGTACTGCAGAAGCGGAGCACCCTCGCTGTGAGGAGTCGGACCAGGGAAATAAGCAATGCTATGATAATACTAACCAAATGACTGTTTTCAGACCAAAGGAAGATCCCACATCTCAGTTTTCACATGAAGTCAAGAAAGAAAAACAGGCTAATAACAGCAGTCCTGACCTTAGCATGCATCCGGAACAAGAGGAACCTCCTGTTCAGAAATATCAACCTGAATTTCAAAAACAGCTGTTAAGACAGCTTCAGGACGATCTTGCCGGGGAACAAATCACCAGGCAGACGACTCCCATGCTTTACTATCTTTCTGGGGGGAAAACCACCAACATCCCACACAACAAGCTCGCCCAATGTCAAGAGGACTCAAGGAGCTCACCAAAGGAATTTCCAGCAAGCAGCTACTCTGCCTCAGCGTGGTGTCTAGAGATAGAAAGGGAAAGCAATCAGCTGCAAAGGACCAACCATCATCATCAGTGCAGTGCTGATGATCTCGTGCTCGAGACTGAAGATCTTACTCTTGCGAGTCCTGCTTCATCCACGGATGAGAGTTTCAAGAACGACTATAGAGAGAAACTCAAAGTGGCTCAGAAAAAGGTTCTGAGAGAAACTTCCTTTAAAAGAAAAGACTTACAGATGAGTTTGCCCATTAGACTGAGACAGAAACCCTCTAAAAGGCCTTCAATTGAACACCTTAGGTCTTTCTCGTTAACCAGTGCAGGCGAGGATGCCAAACCTGTTCCTTGTTCCCCTTCTCATCTAGAATCCTTGGAAAGTTTCAATAGAGATGAAGAAATTAAGAGGCCGCAAACAGGTCGAATAGGGGGAAGGAAAAGGGTAACAGAGGAGCAAAAGAAACTGTGTTATTCTGAACCTGAGAAACTCGATCAGCTGGCAGGTAAGGAAGTATCATGGAATCAAGTCGGGGATGAAATCACTGAGCCAGATATAGTGGCAGCTAGGAGAAAGACTCTGGAAAACAGAGGGAGGGCACTTTCCAGTTCAAGTATCTCCAGGACAGAGCTGAAACAAATCCAGCATACTGCACTTATCGAATACATGGAACGAAAGATTAATCAAAGACCAGGTAGTTCACAACACCTCCCGCTGCATAAGCTGCCCCTGCAGAAGAGGCTGTCGCATCCCAAATGGCCTCCTGGCAAGATTTCCAATCCAAACGGGAGCAGGAAGATGCAAAACAATGAGGTTTGCAGCCAGGTTTTCTCTAAAGAAGAATCGCCAGACGTTTTTCCTCCTTTGGCTTTTGTTTCCCCGCTGACCGTGACCAGCAGGTGTGATCCCAGCTCTGATGCTGCTGGTACCGCAACCTCGAAGCATGACCCATCTCCCAGCGAAGCGGGCGGGAGCTGCGCCGGCAAGTGTGCGTCAGCCGCAGGTCTCCCACAGGCGGGTGATCCTGCGCCTGGGAGAGCTCATGGGAGACCAAAATCAACTCCTTCCACGCAGGTAAGAAAGATAGTAATACAGTAATTATCGTTTGAGTCCCACTTACGATTATCTACCTGTTTTAGAGAACTGCGGGACTATTCACGTGAAGAACTGCGGGACTATTCACGTGAAGAACTGCTGAACATCACAAATGAGGAATTAAGACTCAAAATGAAGATTTTTCTATTATTATTATTATTTTTTAGCATGCAATAGAGAGTTGATAGATGTGGCGGAGAAGCCACATTTTGCTTAACCTGTAGGAAATGCTGTGTAGCTGTTAGAAAGCAGGATGTGTGCTCTGGTTTGCAGTGTACAGGAGGAACAATTCAGGAAGATTTTGGGAGAAGTGCTACCAATTTTATCATGTTAAATATTTTTGATTAATGATAACAATTCGTTATTCTCGAAAGTGTTTTGTAAGAAAGTATTGCAGACAAACAAGGTGTTCTTTAAGTTACAAGAGAACTGCATAAGGATGGAAACAGCTGCCTAGTCTGCAAACGCAGGTTGCCCCAGTGTGCTGTTTTCATTTCCAGGACGCTGGCAGAGGTGCCGCTGGCGCAGCGGCCGCGTCTCGGCGTTGCGAGAGCTGTCTGGGCCCCCCCAGGTAAGGCTGCGAAGGCTGCGCCTGGGTAGAGCCGACGTCCCAGATGTGCGAACTCCGAAGGCAGCCGCGGTTGTCTGCTTCTGCCTTGGGAGCCTTCGTTGTCCGTGTGGGGATACTCGTCCCCTACGCTATTTCCTTCACTTCGGCCCCGTCTTTAAAATAATTTTTACTGTGTGGAAATACTTGGAAATTTTTACTGTAGCAAAAGGGGGAAATGCAGAGTGTACCTGAGCTGCTCGCCCTGCCGCAGCCGCTCTCCTCCAGATCTCCGAGATCACAGCTCCCTCGTCTGAGCTCTGCAAAAACGGCATCTGCAACAGCTCGGATATGCCCGGTCTTGAAAAATACGGTTGCTCAGAGAGTGGTGTGACAGGGGCTTCTGGTGTGGGTTTTTTAAAGGGAAAAAAAATGTTGTGCTGTTTACACATAGCTAACTAGAAAGTTTGTTTGTTAACTCTTGATAGTTATTTAGCTTGTTTGAGGACCATCAGGGAAGAAAAAGATCTGAACTCTGTCTCAACAAGGCAGTGACGCTGACACTTGTGTAGTAATAGAATTTCCACTGTTTCAGTCATTTAAAAAGATCCTAAGGTTTTCTGGAGGCTTCATTATCTTAGAAAAAAAATTGTATTTTTTAGTAAGATTTTGAAGTTTTTCTTTAATTTCCTTGTTTAGCTAAGAGACTTAGCAGGTCAGCATGAATGTCACTGGAAGTTCTGGACAGAACAGTAACATCATAAACATATTTGATCATAGCTCTATAATATGTACTAAATAATGAAAAGATGAGAAATCCAGAACTGGTTCCATTAGTAATTAACTTAGTTTATCATCTTTGGGAAATAGCTGTAAGTAGGGGTTTCATTCTGTTACAGCTGTATCTCATTTTTTCTCTTTGTTTTCCTCCACAAGAAAGTGCTGTTGTGCTGTGGTAGAAAATCCAGACTGGCCCGGGCATGTTTGCAGTATTAATTACTCAGATAGAAGTTCCAGCTGGGACCGGCCCGAGGATCAAGCTATGATCATTACCCGCACCGGTAGTGTCCGTAGGCTGGTGGAAAAAAGCTTGAGAACATTATTATGCACATTTTGCATTCGTTCAATTGCTCAATATAACTTTGAGGTAGTTTTTACTGATATTCTCTATTTTCTGTGATGACTGTTGCAAGCAGTTTGTTTAGCCTACAAGCTGGTCCTACCCCTGCCATTGCCACGAGGCCTGAGGGTGAGTAAGAGCAAGGCCCAGCAATGTGCGCGGTCATTTTCTTGGGTGTCTCTGTGCCTCTTCCCTTCATCTATCCCTCCATAAACATGCGCCAATCCATGATCACAGTATTGCATCATCATCACATTAATTTAGGTGTCACAGTACAGCACCACACTGTGATGCCATGGGGTTTTGCAGGGGGTATTTTTGGCACCTTTTCAGTGGAAAGGCTTTTTCAGCATTAAGGGCATCAGTAAATCACCAGAACCAGGTGGTTCAAGTCAAGGTCAAATAAGGGTTTTACTTCTTAATTGCAGTGAAAAGGTGCACATAATAGATAAGATACGTCTAAGTGACTTTGCCAAGCTGACTTCATTTTTTGATGAAAAGCTAAAAAGGCTGTGTTAAAGCTGGCACACAGAGTGTCTGCAGACCTGGAAGAGGGGGAAACTATGGGAGAAAATGGAATTTCAGAAATAGCAAGACTTTCTTTGCTGAGCCACAGCACAGCTCAGTTTGGCCTCATGAAGAGCTTTGTATCTCGCCAGCTCCTGCTTGAGCCGGGTAAGCGCAGCTCAGCTGCAAACCATCCACGCTCTCCGCAGAGCCCCACGTCTGCGTCAGGAAACCTGCCCAGACAAGCCACGGCTGGAGATAGTGTGGGGCTCGTGGGATTAAAGACAATAGTCCAAGCATGTGGAAGCTTTCCTAGCACAACAACATCTGCTGGTATTTTCTTAAATCTAGAAACTGCTCTGTGTGTGTATCTGTCTTCACTGGGGGTCCTGCAGGCTCCGCTGTTAGGCATTAAGTCTCTTCGTCGTCCTCCACTGCCCTGGTCTACTTCAGGAAAAGAAAATGCCTTCAATAACTCCACAAGTGGCTTAGGAAAGAGTCACACCAACCGTAGAGGCAGGGTTAACTCGGACCTTTAGGGGAGGGAAGGACCGATTGCTGCATTGCTTTTATATGTGACCTTAGAGAAGGAGCTAAGCAAAGGCGGACAAAACCTCTATGCTTGTTTTGGGGGAAAAATTTTTTGCTTTGTGCCTACAACTTTGAAGCTCATATGTCAGGTTAACATATTTAAATTGGGGCTTATAAATCTTCCTTCCAGCTAGTCCCTCTAACTTGCCTCCCTACTGTCCCCTCATAATCCTGTTAGGTTATGAAAAATTTTGCTAGATGAAAAAGTAGGTTTGTTCATTCAGTCATGATTAATACAATAGTATTTACGTATACAGATGCACTGACTATTTTCACAAGCAGTTACATGGATGCCTATGTGTACATTGGTGATTGCAGAAGATGGTCTACACATACTCCAATCATCTTGTGTTCAACAGTGCCCCTATATTCTTGCAAATTTTGGTCCAAAGTGTACTTTTGAATTACATATATCTACTTATTATGTCATTATTAATGTAATTATTTATGCCCTGCAGACAGTAGCTTTTTTTCCATCAAAGTTTCTTTGGAAGTGTTGAATCGGAAAACTCAAAGCACTGGGTTAGGAATGCATCGGCCAACTCAAAAGTAGAAGTCTGATCTCAAATGGTTAACTGAAAGTCTTTAATAAAACTTTCAGTTAAGTCTAATGGCCATTTCAAAACAGAAGCCTCAGATGAACGGTGTTTCCTCTATGTTGGTATTTGATTTGCCTAGAGAGATGGAAGCACTAGATGTCTTCTCTAAGGAGGACTGAGAAGTGATGCACAGGCGACACTGATGGCATGAACCGGTTCTCACTCTTGGGCTGAAACGTTCTCGCTACAGGAATGAGGAGTAAGGAGCAAGACAGTAAAGATTTGCCCTCTTGCAATACAGCCACTGTGTTAGCAGAGGGCTGGGGGAGGAAAACACAGAGTGCAGATCGTCCTGCTCTGTCCTGGCCGGTGGTGCCCAGACGTGGCCTGAGAAAGGTCGCGGCAAGCCCTGGTCCCCGCGAGCGCCTCGTCCTGGTGGTACCGTGCTCCCCAAGGTGGGCGGCACGGCTGCGTGCTTTTCGTCCATTTGTCAAACAGCGTCAGTGTGACATTTCACAGCACGCTTTACCACAGGCTTATTTCAGAAAACATGCATGTTGGTTGTAATTAGCAAATGAGAAATTGAATGGGGATTCAAATAACGTGGAGTGGCGCAGACACACGTTTCATCTACTCCCTTTTTTCCCAAGCAAATAGGCATTATGGAAGCTGAATTTTAAAAGCTTTAATAAAGAGGAAGCTGGAAAGATAATGACAGTTAAACGGTCCGCAGAAATATCTGTTGTAGAGGAAGTGTCTGAAACAAAAGGAAGTTCTTCTTTCTTATAGTTTCCGTGACACTGAGAAAGATGGATGCAAGAATCATGAACATAAAGATGACGACATAATTGGACGTGCATGTTGTCAGGATACTAAGGAGCTGACTCCTGAAACCTTTATTCCTATGCCAAGAAACGGAAGCGAGGAAGATGCTCAGGAGGAGGAGGAATGCAGAACTAAATCTCTGAATGGCGATGCTTTAATGAAGTGTCCAGAGCAGCGGTCTGCAGCTCCCCAGGAGCAGGTAACGTACTGCCGCACGGCGTCCGCTCAGCCTCGCCGGGGACACAACGATACAGCCAAAGGTTTCGTTGCACAGGGAACGTCCGTGCACAATAGCCAAGATGACGTTCTCCCTGAGAGAGAGACAAATCTGCCCGAAAGGAGGCTGCAGTCTCCTGAAGACCAGCGATACGAAGAGCTTGCTATGGAGATCATTGCCAAAGACAATTCTCTGGTTGATATTCTCGTGCCTCATCCTGTTAGAAAAACTGCTCTAGACCTCATGGAGGGTCTTTTTCCTGTTAACATTTCCATGCTGGATAAATCACACAGAAAAAAGGGAGATGTGCAGCGTGCGCAGGAGAATGAGTAAGTAGACAAAACCAATTATCTAGTATTTTCAGCTCTTTTTTGTGAATGAATATCATGTACATACTAGTAGTGAGATGACTTGAGCGTATTTTTTTATTTTTGTTTTGTTAGAAAAATACTTTAGCTTTCTGATTTACATGTCAAGAAATAGCTGAGGCTATGGATGTATGATGGAAGAAATGTGGCTCAACCATACCTTATTAAAAAGGACTGTGACAAACCTGGGCTGCAAATCTTTTGCTCTACATCTTTTAAAAGCTTAGAAAAAATCCTGCTGAGAGGAGAGTGATTCTGAAGTCAAGATGCAAAAAAACCATGAACACAATGTTTGGGACAAAAACCTCTTTAAGTGTTTGTTGCAGGTATTTATTTTCTGTTCCAATAGCAGGAGAAGTAGTAAAGATGCAGCAGAAGAATGTCCCTTATCTGAACACGATGCCAAGCAAAGGAGTGAAGATCCTACCTCTAAGGGAACCCAAATCCCGACCAGGAGCAGAGACAGCACGAACGACCTAGATGACGTCACGCCTAAGAAGGTATGTAAGAGGACCTGCTGTTTCTTCACCACGACAAAGAAGTTGTCACTAATGTCACATATATATTACTGTGGATATTTTTATTCAGGACTTTGATCACAATAATAAAGTTTCACAGAAAACTTTAAATACGTTTTTGCCAGTAGGTCAAGTCCTGGCAAATTAGTACATTGATCATATATGGTGATATTTAAATCCTGCCTGGTTTGATTCAGATCTCCTCCCACATACTCCTCCTCAGCGGGTCGCTGGGGAGGGGTTGTATCTGGAACAGGCACGCAGGGCTGGTTAGACATCTCCTTTCAAGGCCAGCTCCTGTGCAGCAGCTGACTCACGATTTAACACTCAAATCTGGTCTCAAAATCTGTAAAATTCATTACAACTGGCAGCTTAAATAAGAAATATTTTTCACTCTGAGAGAACTAGTGATAGGACAAGAGGAAATGGCCTCCAGTTGTGCCAGGGGAGGTTTAGATTGGATATTAGGAAAAATTTCTTCACTGAGAGGGTGGTCAGGCATTGGCACAGGCTGCCCAGGGAGGGGGTGGAGTCATTATTACTGGAAGGGTTCAAGAAACGTGTGGATGTGGCGCTTCAGGACATGGTTTAGGGAACATGGTGGCGCTGGATTAATGGTTGGACTTGATGATCTTGAAGGTCCTTTCCAACCTAGTGATTGTGTGATTCTGTGATTCTGAACTGGCAGCAGCGTCTGTACACTACAGTGCCCTATTAATTTCCATATGTGCAGGGAACAGAGGTAGCTGGGACATAGCTGGACTACGATAGAAATATGGCACCTTGGAAGGGCAACACGTAGCTTTGAAGAATTAGGGTTTTTTTTTTTTCTGTAGAAACCTGGCCATGCTCCATCCCAGGTAATGACAATCTGCCTTCCTGAGACTCCTGCTGTGCACGTGGTGGCATTTTTCGTTCTCCGCTGTCTAACTGCTGCTCCTGTTCACGGTGGCATTGGCTGATTTCCAAAAAAAAGGCTGGTAGGGTTCTTGTCCCACTCCGGTCTCAGGGCCTTTTTCCATATCAACATTTCTGTATCAAACAGCCTCCTCCGGTTCCTTTGCTACCCAGGCACTGTGGCTTGCTTGAATCACCCGTGGAACTGATTTTTTCTGTACATACTATAAATTAAATTCCAGTCAGTTCTTGTAAAGCTTGGTGATAGAGCTGTGACTTCATACTGCTGTCTTAGAGCATAACCGTGTGTAATCCTGTGGTAATCTTTATTGCAGTTCACTTCTGACTGACTGAAAGGTCTCCGAGCTAGGGATTATATCACTAGTTAAGGCGATTATCAGTAATTTGCTTTTCAGAGTTTGAGAATTAAGTACAGCTTAGAAAATATTTTTTTTCTTTTTCTTTCCCAGAGCTTAAAATTATTTTAAAAGTCCAAAATTTGGCAAAGACGACGTGAGGAAAATTCTTTAGAATTATATGGATTCTCTTTGGCAATAACAGCTTTCTGTCATGTTTGCCCTTTGCAGCTGGAACTCATCTCCAGCCTCCGGTCAAAGCTGCAGACCCTGTGGCAGGAAAGGGAGCTCATCCTCTCCGAAGCCAGGGAGTGCGCCGAGCGAGGCGAGGCGCTGGAGGCAACGGTGAGGGACGTCTGCAAGCCCAATGAGTTTGAGCGCTACATGATGTTCATCAATGACTTGGAGAAGGTTGTGAGCCTCTTGCTCTGCCTGTCCAGCCGCCTTGCCCGGGTCCAAAATGCCATGAGGAGGATTGACAGCAATACAGATGCTGAGGAGAAGGTGAGTGAGAAGCTGGCAGGGCATTTGTTTTGTTCACTTCTTTCCAGACGGGGCTGTGCTCACCTCTTTTGTCTGACAGCTCTAAAGAAAAGCTGTAAATGATCCACGAATCCCAACCAGCCGTTGCTCAGGCCGTGTTTAGTCCCACGCGACGGGCTGCGTCTCCACGGCCGAAGCAGAGGGGACCTCAGGTTCAGTGCTGGAGAACGAAAGTGCAGAGTGAGCTCTGCAGCTGGGTGCTGGGCTGCAGCAGCCGCAGCACCCTGAGAGGGTCCGAGCCAGAGGGGTGGCCTTCGAACCCTCGGGCCGCTCCCTGTGGAGTAGCTCCGAGCCTGTGCTTCAGAAGGCTTTGGGGTTTTGGGGCTTTTCCCCCCCCGGTAATCTCAATGCAGTAATTACTGCCTTTGAAATTGTATTTCGCTTCATGGGCTTAACTGCGGAGAGCAGGAAGAAGATGTGGCCGCAGCATGAGATAAGATTCCCTGTAGTTTAACTCAACTAGCCAGCTTTACTGGAAAATTAGGAATTGTCTCATGTCACCAGGAAATGTTTTCAAGTCTGAAATATACTTCTTTGCTAAAGAAGAAAAGCCGAATTTATCCCAGGAATGATGCTTTCCTGCTGTCCTTATTGTTTTTAGACATGTTTTTATCAATACAATACCTGCTGTTATGTCTCATTTGGAAGTCAGAAAAGCACAGAGTTAGAAAAGCTGGGATTTCCCGGAGCTGTGCTGCTGCCGACCAGTAGCTCTGGAGGTTTATCGTAGCTTACACGCAGAAGGGCACTAAGGGAGTCCTGCCATGCAGTGCGATACGGAGAATCGGGACCTACCCGCCCCAGAAAGTCGGTTGTGTTAACATGAATAACTGGGGCAGCACTTGACACTGACTTTGGCCAACAGACTTGGGGGGGGGGCTGCTGTTTCTTTAGTGTTGTGTGTATACTCTTCGTAGTAAATACATTAAAGTCATTTATTGAAGATTTTTAAAAACATACTCGGTAAAGACTTGGTTAAGTGCCGGCATTTTTGCAACCACCTCCCAGTCATTGCAACTGCCCCGATGCGAAACCAGCAGTCTTGACCTTTGACTCCATTTTAGGGTGTCAGTGGTGACCTTTGCTCTGTGCTATATTTATGGACACTGTCCTGAAACTGGACATTTTCCAGCAGTGCTATCCCTGTGAAAATCATTACAGCTGAGAAAGAATTAGTGAAAATATGAAAGGTATTAAAATCCTGTAGAACAGGCAAGGCTTGCTTCTCGTGGATTTGTTAAAAAGAAACCTTTGATGAACAGTTACTGTCTGCATCAAAGTTACTTTATCACATGTACCTTTTAATAGAAGTCACACTATCTTTTTAATATGACATTGGCAGTCTGGCCACACACAACTTGCAAAATACAAAGATATGTGCCTTAAAGACCTTCTAACTGGATGAAGATGGATACAGGATACTCTAAAATTACCAGAATGTGAAGTATATTGATTTTTTTCCCCGAGGGCAGCACGGAAGAAGTGAGCCTTGATGGGGTTTACTGGGTGTCTTTACCTTACAAGCCACAAGAATGAGTAATTCAATTGAGAAAAAACTCATGGGGAACATAAAGCCCACAAGAGGAAGCAATTAAACTAAATTGACTGTGGCTTCCAAATGAAGATCTAGAGTCTGCCAGGAATGATGAGTTTTCATAGTGTGCTGCTTTGTTTTTTCATCCTATTAGCAATCGCTGAATGAACGGCACAAGCTCTTGTCTAGACAGCGGGAAGATGCAAAAGACCTGAAAGAATGTGGTTTCTGGTATACTTGCCAAATACCTGACTGATCAGCAGCTCCAGGACTACCGACGCTTTGTTCAAGTCAAGACCTCCTTGCTGATTGAACAGAAGGACCTTGAAGAGCAGATTAAATTTTTCAAAGAACAATTAGAAAATCTCGAGAAAAGCATCCCCCTCTAGTACCCACCAAAAGACCATCCATTTCAACACGTCGTAATTTGTGATGTTTTCCTGGAGGTCGCCACGCGCTCGGCTTGGTGAATTCTTGCAACCCTGTTCGTGCCACGGTATTGACAAGTGCTCAGATGCTCTGGGGATGCTCTAGGCACACGTGCCTAGACTGCATTTTGGAAATGACTGGTAGGATGTGTTGCTCCTATTAACTTGGCATGTATTTCCCCTTCTTGTTGCCTGTCCATCTGTTTCCAGATTGACATAATCTCAATAAAAGAACGATAGAAATATTTTCCTCATGTGGGTGGGTTGAGTGTTTGAAATGAAAAATTATGTGGGTGTTCCATTTGAATTGGAGATTGCACAAAGCCATAGGAAATGTTATGGACCATTTCAGTGAAGCTCTTTCCACTGTTTACATGTATGACACAGTAAAAATATGCTGTAATGGAAGAAAATAATTATTTCCTTCCTTGGCAGTTGCCATCCATGGGTCTTTGCTGGCTCTGCATAATATCAGTAGGCTGACCACTAGTGGGTCTTACAAGGGCATCAAAAAAACCTGATCAGTGATGAAGCCAGCTTAAATGAACACTTCTGGGAACGATTAAGCTCTGAACTTATTCCTGCAGAGTCATTTGCAAAGTCCTCACTATTGTGAAAAGTCCTTCATGCTTTTGAAGTGTTTATTTTTCAAGCAGCACCTCCAGGGGTTTGCTTTTAGGTAGTTTTCAATTGTCAGCGTGCACAAGAAGTGCTGAATGTGGGGGGGAAAGCTCTGCTGCAGAGTGAGGGAGGTGGGACGAGGGCAGGAAATTATTCCGTTTCAATGAGGCTTTACATAAATCCCTTGCCAAAAATCTTGTAAACTAATGTTGCGTGTTGAGTCAAACCAGTGATGATATTGTATTTAAAATGTGAGTGTGTTTTCTTTGTTTTTAAGTAGTCAGTGAGAGGAATATTCCATCTGAGCTACATACCTAGACATGAATAAGGCAGCTACTAATCGGACTCAGGTCCCTTCCACAGGCAAAACAGCTGTTCATTGTTCCATGACGGCAGGCTGTACGAGGAAATGGTGTGTGTCCCGAGTATTATCACCACTGAGAGAAACTGTCCTGTTCTGAGGCATCTTCTCCTTTGGGATTGCATGAGCTTTCAACAAACGCACAACCACCCAGCATGGGGAGTCAACATGGGTTTCAGTTGGTGGTGTGGGTTCGTTTTACCACAGATCACATTCTTCATCTGAGTTTACCCACCGGGCAACGTGAATGAAGTGATCAAGAAATGACAGCGTACAAGAAGGAGACCACTGGACGCATTCTCCGTGAGCGATGTTAAGGATCACTTGCCGAGGCTCCTGGCTGCTGAAAGCGGGCACCGAAGAGGGTACAACGTGCTGCGCTTGCCCATGAGCAAACTGAGAAGCGCCCCGGGAGTTACACAACAGCGCAATAAAGCACAAATAGCTTGCCAGACTCCGAGGCTGTTAGCTGCTCTGTATTTGTTTTCAGAATAAATGAATGTATCATCAGGTGCTGCCCAGACTCCAACAAAGCAGCATTGTTCTGCTCTAATTTGCATATTTATGCCGAAGTACTCGTATCTATAGCCCTGCTCACGTTTCAAGAGAAACAGCATAGTCCCTGAGTAAGGCTGCGAACACTTGGCGTCAGAAGTCGGTTTTATGATGCATACCAAGTATCCGTAAATATCTTTGCAATAAAGTGTGCAAGTGGGTGGTATATAGCAAAGAGGAGTCTTGTGAATATTAACATTTTGTTCTAGCGATCTGAACAAAATAGGTGGTGCTTAATGCTGAAAACACTGTGTCACTGGACACAAGTGACTCCAGGAGCGCAGGGGCCGAGTTGCCATGTCTATGGTGGTTATTGCCTTAATCCATGGGGAAAAATGGCCAGACACTGTAGATCCTGTGAGTAGATCTGCTCAGTGGTTCTCAAAAGGCCATAAATGCAGGCTTTTAATATGTAAATCTGAAACCTGCCTTTTGAAAAGGGTCTTTAAAATAACAGATGTGATGATAATGGAATCAATGGAGAATTTTAAAAATATGAGCTATGTTAAATGAGCTCTTTGCATTATTTGAGAAGCCTGACGTGAAGGTGCACTCCATTATTATTATTCCTAGTTGAGGAAAATCCACCTGATTGGAAAGAAATGTTTGACAATTGAAGCTAATGCTTACCTTTAAGGGAAAGAATGGGTCTGCTCTGCTTAGTTTCTCTTATCTTTTTGGTCTTTCGTGTTATGGGGAGGATGATTGCTGCTCCTACTACACTGGCATTCATAGATATGCATCAAAGAGCAAGAATTAGAAATAACTTTTAGTCTATTGCCTAAAAAGTCACATATCTGTGCTCCTTGTTACTTTGTTAGAACTGTGAATTTCAGGCAAAGTGAAAAATGGATACAGCGATGAGATTGAAACCTCTTTGCTGGCAAGCAGAGACCCCCTTCCCAAAGCACCAGCAGGTCTGGATCGTCAGGTGGGTCTCGATTTTGACACGGATCGTTTGTCATGGATTTATTACCAGGGGCCAAGCCCAAGGTAACAGTAGTAGCTCACACCAGACCTAAGTCGTGCAGCATTCCTGGCACACCTACATACTAAGCTGTGGACTTTTAAAATCACAATCTGATGTGCAAACACAAATAATTTAATCTGCTCCTGGATGAATGGCAAGGAGCAGCCCTGGGTACCTCTGAGACTGGTGAAAGACTCTTCGGTTGTTCAAAATCGCAGCCATTACCTGCAGGAGAGACGCTCTGCTCTTACAGATGGGCTTGCATCTCCTTTTAGCAGCACGGAGTGGCACTGAGGTGGTGTGTGCTGGCCAAGACCTCTCCCTGGAGAGAACAATGCTCTTTATTTCTTAGCTGCTGGGAGAGAGAACCGCATCAGGCAGGTAGCGTCCACATCCTCTAGATGATCTTCTTGTCTTCACGTCAGTTTATATTATTTCACTTTAAAATCCTTCTCCTAAGTGAAAACCCGTCTCCTAAGTAGAGCTTCCAAACGAAACTTGTTTGGGGGGCTTGCAGGACTCTGTCCCAGTGAGTGAGACCTTGAATCATCCTGCAGCCCAGCCAGTTCTACGTACGGTAAGTGTCCCTCTCCGCTCTGGTCAGCTGTAGTCTTCAGAAGAACAGACTGAAGTCAGGAAATGGTTTAAGTATCTGCTTTTGAATCCTATTTGGGGAAAAAAGAGGGGTTGCCCTTTTCTGAAGGTTTGGTATTTAAAGCACTGATTACATCCCCACACCAATAACCATTGCTTTTATGTGTCAGCTTTTTGCCAACTTCAAAGTCATGCAGTTTAGCTGGTACTGCCTTAACTTTATTCTGGGGAAGAACATGAGAAGACTTCATATTCTAGCCTAAGCTGCCTGAAGAGCTCTATAAACAGATTTCCTACCGCCGTCCCAAACTCGCCCTTCTCCAGCCGTGATGCCTCCTTCCATGGGTTCCTGCAGCACCAGTGAGAACAAAACCCCAAGTACCCGCATGCATCTGCCATCGCTGCAGCGCGGAGGCAGCCGACCCTGGCCTTGGCCGGCAGCGCTGCTGTTGAGTTCACGCAGCTCCTCCTGTTTCTTCTGCCTTCCTTTCCTCCCTCTTGGGGCACAGAAGCCAGGACGGCCAGAAATGCAGAGCGCCTTCTTTTTACAACACTGTGATCCCACGCTGCTCCAGTTTTTTCTGAACCTGTCCAGGCAGAAGACAAATTTAACACCTGAGCTGTAAACAGCAGCAACTGGTGGTGGCTTTAGGGAAGCAAATCTTCCAAATGTAAGGATTATGGAAATAAAACCCTGTGCAGTGCTTGTACATTATTACTATTAATGCCGCTACTCTCTAGCCTCCCATTTGTGACTTCTGCAGCAGTGATAGCGAGTTGCCTCTGCCCAGCGTGCGTTCGACCAGGGAAGCCTTAACGCTCTGCTCTTCCCCGCTGCTGCCCAGAGCCCTGGAAAGCTGTCGGCTTCCAGGGGCTTCAGGGCCTTGGCAAGTCACCAGTGCTGAGACCTGCTGAGCTACTTCTTATGCAAAGTCAGGTGTGTGTTTTGGGGGAATGTAAGGCATGAAGGAGCTCCCTGCTGCCTGACCCCCTGGGGAGAGCAGGCAGGAAATCCCGGCTGCTGCCCAGCCGCAGGCAGCGGGACGCTTGGGAGGCTCCTGTTGCAGCCTGCGAGCCTAATACTTTCTTAACATCCCAGGTAGAAGGTAATGTGACCCCACCACCGTGAGAGGACTGCTATCGGAGACCTGCGGCGAGCTGTCCGTATGAATTAATTACAACTACATCCAGGAGAATGCAAAGTGATAGTGCTGAGGAGAAGGAAGAAGGTGCAATCGGCAAAATGCAAGAGCCTAGACCTCCCCCGTGGGGCGCGGGCTGCGGGGAGGCTGGTGGGATTCCAGGAACGATCTCTGTAACTCATTTGGCCATCCACGCACGAGCGTGGGGGGAGAAACTGCAGTAGCTTATGTTCTGCTAAGCAAAAGCAGGTGGGCCTGATTTCAGGATAAAAAGATACCTTTTATTGCCTAGAGCCAGCGAGATGAGCAAGTGGTCAGTGGAAGCAGACGGTGCATCATGCGCATCTGACGGTGTCTTGGCAGCAATCGTGGGGATTTTAGACATAGCGGCTCATTTAGAATTTCCTTTAACACCCACTGCAATGTGTGGGAGTCACTGCTGGATCAGGAGCTGCTGTTTCAGCCTCTCAGGCACTAAATCGAAGGATTTTAACTGCTTTTTTTTTAAACCCCAGCCTCGTTTTCTTCACTGGGTGTTATGCTGTGGGACTTTTGCATGTGGAGCTAATTAAGGAATGGAGAGGTGCAGGGGTTAATGTAAATGTTCTCTGCAAAAGATCTATTTGATGCTTGTGCGAGCTGCATTTAATAAGTAGAAGGATGTTCTCTCTGCTTTGGGAATTCATGGCAACCATCTGAATAAAATTTTAAAAATAAA